CCTAGGAGAAAAGCCACAGTTGAACAAGTGATAGGCCAGCGTTGCAAATGTTTAACTAAAATTTTTTAACTAAAATTAGGTAAACCAGTCGAACCAACTGGACCTATTGGAGACCGTTGAACCAGGACCTATTGGGCAGACTAGCCGGGCCAACTGGACCTATTGGGTAGACCAGTTAAATCAACTGGACTTATTGGGCAGACCAGTTGGACCTATTGAGTAGACCAGTTGAACCAACTGGACCTTGGGTAGACCAGTTTTGGACCAACTGGACCTACTGGGTAGACCAGTTGGACCAACCGAACCTATTGGGTAGACCAGTTGGACCAACTGGATTGGGTAGAGCAGATGAACCAACTGGACCTATTGGGTAGACCAGTTGGACCAACTGGACCTATTAGGTAGACCAGTTGGACCAACTGGACCTACTGGGTAGACCAGTTGAACCAACTGGACCTTGGGTAGACCAGTTTTGGACCAACTGGACCTACTGGGTAGACCAGTTGGACCAACTGAACCTATTGGGTAGACCAGTTGGACCAACTGGACCTATTGGGTAGACCAGTTGGACCAACTGGACCTATTGGGTAGACCAGTTGGACCAACTGGACCTAATAGTTAGACCAGTTGGACCAACTGGACCTATTAGGTAGACCAGTTGGACCAACTGGACCTACTGGGTAGACCAGTTGGACCAACTGGACCTATTGAGTAGACCAGTTGGACCAACTGGACCTATTGAATAGACCAGTTGGACCAGTTCAACCAATTGGACCAGTTAAACCAGTTCGGGAGACCAGTTTTACCAGTTGAATTCCAGTTGTACCAGTTGAATTTCCAGTTGGACCAGTTAGAAACCAGTTAGACCAATTGGAAACCAGTAGGACCAGTTGGGATTTCTAACTGGTCCCAACTGGAATTTATACCTGGGAATCATCATTCAATCAGTCAAACGTTCGTATAAGACATCAAATACGTCACGTGTAAGCCTCCTCAATTTTCGGTATAATTTCAGTCATAACCACATCCAGATTACCAACTTGCCATACATTATAATGGTTGTGAGATAAATAATTACATACCCACTTGTAAGTGGATCTATATCTAGACAAACGTTCGAAGTGAACGAGGCTTATGTATTTTAGTAGACTCTAAAAGCGATTAAATAAGCATTTGGAACCCCTAAATTGTCATTTACGGATATTTCCTCCATGGTATGACAGTCAAATAATGAAAAATAGCCCTCCCTGCTACTTACGTGCAGTCCCCAGTTCTTCGTCTGATCATAAAATATAATGTCTGACTATATTATCATAATCATTTTCTGCCTGTTTATATATTTATTTGTGACACTTCACCTTTGTATCGGTGGCACTCACAGTCAGTGGTGCTGTCATACACAAAGAAAAAAAGAGATAAGAATCTTGACATTATTAGGCAATACTTAACTAAATACTTAAAACTTCTTATTAAGTATATTAAATACTTACGAAATGCACCAAAGCTCCAATGAAACATTTTAAACAAAATAAGCAAAAGGAAATCAAAAAGAAATATACAGTACTGCACATGCAAATGAATATATCTTAAGCCTACCCATGTACACGTGTCCCATAAATAAATATACACCCCTGCCCACACACACACAAAAATAGGGACGCTATTCATTGGTGCCACGCCCCCACCCCAAACAATTTGTAAGATGGTAATTATATATCCTAATTCCTGTACAGTTGCTTTACATGAAAACCAACCAACCTCACAACCAACACAAATATTTAAGTTACATTTTATTCAGTAGGCCTACAGACTTCACCATAAGAGGGCGCGGGTCGGTATTTTGCTTGTTTCGCTGATCTCATAACGTCATTTGCGTATTTAGACGATTGACACACGACGAAAGCCAATTCTTGGACAGAAAAAAGCCATAACAGAAACGAAATTTTACATAAAAGATATTTGTACAATATATATTCTATTAGGTCTTGTTTACCTACCCAGGGTTAGGCCTAAGACGAATCCTAGGTCTAGGATAGGCATTTACAATGATTATCGAAATCTTTACTCGCAATAGTATAATTAATATGGTTTATATAATTTGTTAAAATTTGATATTCGTAATGGATTTCTAAATCATCAAACAAAAGATGGTATTTAATTTCAGGGGAGCTTGATGTGAATAATTCCCAAAATAAATGTAAATCTTTTTTGTATAACTCCTCTTTAAGCTGGTCAAATATTAAATTTCTAATGTTATTTAATCTAATACAATCAAATACAAAATAATTGATGGTTTCCTTTGTCGCGCAGTCACATAAAGCCTGTTTTCCACTTGGCGAATTTATTCGCGCGAATGGAAAGCGGCGGCTCATGCACATGCGCATTCACATGTTTACGGAGGTTCTGCTAGCGAAAAAAAAAAAGCCAACCGACGGTTTGATTCGCGGGAATAAATTCGCCTAGTGGAAAACCAGCCTAATAAGCATACGCCTAAATTTTGAGGTGACCAAGATTCCTTTCTTTCTTATTGAGTTAAATTTTAAACTTGATACATGGAAGTTACACTTTTCTAATAAATACTTTTCAATTTTAGGTTTACTTTTGTATCTTATGTAAAGTTTTAAGAATGATTTACTTAAAGCATTGTTATACCAACTTATGTTATCTTTTTTAATGTTTTGTCCTTTTAAGCCATTAAGGCATTTTGTACAATATTCAATGTTAAAGAACATTAATTTGTAGATCGAATTTATTTAAAATGGACTCAATATTATGTTGAAGCCATTTCCAACTCAGTTTTTCTTTAGCGTAAAGAGAGCCCTAAATAATAATCTTGGCCAGCGGTGTTCCTCCATATTTTTTAGTCTAGAAGTAAGTTAATAATCTTTCTGATTGAATAGATTCAATTGTTTGCCAGCCAAGTTCACCATATAAGGCTCCCTTTGCGACATATCTGGGTACTTTTAAAAGATTAGTAGTAGATTAATTAAGCTGTCACCTAGACTTAAGGCTCGACCACGTTGATAACCTTCCGAGACTTCATCATCAGCTATTGCCGGTCCACTGCTGGACTAATGTTTCAGGATATCGACGCCAAATCAATCTTTTTCTCTTGCTGTGTTGCACTATTTCACTCATACCCAATAAATATCGATCTCATCTCTTAATCTTTTATGTTGTTTTCCTTTGTTCGTTTTGTCATCCATGGGGTCTGTTACTGTTTGTATTTGTTTTTACTTCTGCTGAATACAAGTTCAACAACCAGAATGAAAACCACTTAGCCAAACCGCAATTTTACCATTTTTGTTATTAATATTAATAATAATAATAATATTAATTTAAATTTTTTTATTTATTTGTATTCATTCCCCTTCCCCCTAGTTTGCCTTTCTATTACTGCCGCCAGTGTGTAGCTATTTTTTATGGGTCGATAAAACATGGGTACCGTACGATATCTCGATATTAGGCAGTTTTCGCCACACGACGTTAACCTTAACGTTAACGGATGACGTCATAATTTATTCATCTTGCGTTGCGGAGTACGTTAATTTCAGGATTTTACGTGCTCGACGTACGTTAGTTACGGGTTTGCGCATGCATATTTAGATTTGTTTACAAAAGGGGCGGAGCTATCGCGCTGCATGTTGGGTACTAACGTTAAAGTTAAGGTTAACGTCGTGCGCCGAAAACTACCTAATAGTTAACCTAACCCTAAACCTTTTCAGCGTAAGGTAAATGTAAAAATACCCTGGCTCTATACTACTTGGCTAGTAGTAGGCCTTAGGTTTTGTCGTCAGTTTCTTTGGTTGGGATTGTCAATGCATGGGTCTACGTACGTCGGTACGATGATAGAGCCTAATATACTTTTTTTTGGCGATAATTTAATTACAATTCTCCCTGACGAACACTGATGAACTGGGTGCAAAGACAGCCAAAATAGATGCTTTCGACCCGCTCGAGTTCTCATTATTTTCCATCCATAACATATAGTTTTACCGTTTCTATCTCATACCCTCTTCGCAGCCGCTGTTTGGTTCTTGAGACGTCTTCGCAGCCGCCATTTAGTTCCTGAGACGTCTTTTTGGTAACTGCGCATGCTTGACATGGCTCAACGTCACTTACTCAATGCACATGCTCACTGGCTGTCTAGTATTTCCAAGCGCATGCTCACTGTGTTTTTATAGATAATTCACGGACGTTATTTGGTAACTGCGCATGTGCATTGCTTAGTTCAGAATTCCCATTTATTCGTAGTAAAAGCTACCGCTACAGTTTCTTAATGACTATTTCCTCTTGATCGTTAAAACCTAAAGGTGCGGTGCAAAAACCCAATTAACACAAACAAAAACGTCTCGTATAAAAATAAACTCCATTGGAAGAAACGCAAGCTCACGCTATATATCTGAGAAGTTATATTAATAATTGATCGAGATTATCGTCAGCGTTACGATCAAAACCAACAGACACCAGAAATATAAAACTAAGATAAGCCATTGAGATGATATTATTATTATTAATGTTGTTATTATTATTATTTTTTTTTTTCTCTTTTGTGGCAACAGACCACATTTATTCATCAATATCATTATAAAGCACAGTTCATACATTTACAATTGATGGTACTAAAAATATTGATTTTATACATTGATTTAGTTGTGGGTTAGCCTTTCATTATCCTCCTTTTTTCGTGGTTTTGATATTTTTTTTAAAATTTATATATTTATTAAAAACTATATACAGTGAACACAGTCACGGTGTTACCGAACGCACGATACATTACAGCACACTCACTATTGTTACACGTTCAAAAAGAAGAAAAGTAAAATAAATGAAAGAAGAGAATCTAAAATGGCTTGCAAAAAAATATATTATGCAAGACACTTTAGATACTTTCTAATATTATATTCAGTTATAAAAAGCCTTTGCATTGAGCTACGATTCCATTTGTTAACGTTTTTTAAGACGTTTGCTTTAAATATACAGAATACTCCTAATGAAAATATATGATCTACATAAACATTTCCCGTTCCAAGTACAATGTTTTTAAAGTCTGCTTTGATAACGTATTTTAAAAAAATAAAACTATTAACATATTTCCATAATTCCTTTGCTTCTACACACTCAAAAAAGAGATGTGCCTCATCTTGAACAACATTCTTACATCGTTGGCATTTATCAGAATTCACAATTTTCCATAGGTATAATCTTTTCTTGGTGGGAACAATGTTATGTAATAGCTTAAAATTAATCTGTTTAAGTTTATTTTCTCTAATCCCCTTCACCTTCCATGTCCATGTCGACACCCAGTCGATTTCAGTATTAAAATAAGAATGCCATTTCATTTGACACTTTGTGGGTTCAATTCGCCTATTCATAATAAAATACCAATATATTTGTTTGGTACTTATACACCATTGTATTGGCAATATTACTTTAGACTTCTTTTCTATTTTTCCTAAGAGAATTTTCTCTTTCCAATCTTGCGGGATTGCTTTTAGCAAGAGAGATATTTCCGCAATCCAATTAGATCTGACATCTAATATAGTAAATAATTCATCTGCATTAATAAATCTGTTATCAATAACTATATCATTTATCGTTCGTATGCCCGCTCTAACCCAATTTCTATATAAAAGTGAAACACCATTATATAATATCATTTTGTTACCCCAAATTCGTTTCAATATTTCATTATAACCCAGTGGGTGCTTAACAATACATTGGTTAAAATATGTTAATGTGTTTATCATTGAGAGATAAAACCTAGGAATTCCGTCGATGGATATCCCTTTATAGCATACATGTGACATGTTTTCAAAAACGCCCTTTGGAGCAAATCTGTTCAAATATAATCTTAGCAAAAACTTCCATTTTGATGTTTCGCCATCATACAAGCGTTTAAGCCAAGCCATTCTTAGTGACTTAACTTGTGATATAAAATCAGGAGCTCTTAAACCGCCTCGATGATAATCATTAATTAGGGTTAACCATTTTACTTTTTCCAATTTATAGTCCCACAAAAACTCAAAAACAATTTTATCAACCTGTTTTACCACGCTCTCGGGGGTTTCTATAATGCTTGCATTTTAAACAAGTTTAGATAACCCGAGCGCTTTTAAAATTAAAATTTTTCCTGAGAGAGTCAAATTTCGTTTCCGCCATGAATTAAGTATGTGTTTTATTGATTCAATTTTTTCTGACCAATTTTTTACAAAACATAATTCCTTATTGTGGCCAACGTGTATTCCTAGCACTTTAAAACCATTATAAACCCACTTAATATCAAAAGGATTGTCCTTTCTCTTTTTCCATGGCCCTAACCACATGGCATTAGTTTTCCTCTTGTTTAGATTTAATCCTGACATGTTCCCAAATTCAATAATTATATCAATGCATTTTTTTTATACCTTTTCATTTTTTTTTATAAATAAAACTGTATCATCAGCTAGCTGAGCAATTTTTACTTCAACAGTATCTTTTTGATTTGGTAGAATAATGCCTTTAATCAGTCTATCTCCTCTTATCCGAATAGCCATAATTTCAGCTACTAAAATAAAAAGAAGGGCAGATAAAGGACAACCTTGCCTTATGCCTCTATACATTTTAAAGCTTTTTGAGCTCCATCCATTGTTCATAATTATTCACTCAGTATTACAATACAAAACTCTTACCCATTTGATAAATGATGGGCCAAAATTAAAATGATGAAGAGCATTAAACAGGAAATCTCTGTTAACCGTGTCAAATGCTTTACTGAAATCTAAGCTTATCAGGGCGCCTGTACGACTATTTACATCCATATATTCCATAATATCCTCAATCAAGCGGATATTTTCCCAACCAAAACGACCTTTAATATACCCGTTTTGATCATTACTTACTATATTTTTTATAACATTTTGTAGTCTTTTTGCTAAAACAAAAGCAGCGATTTTATAATCCACATTAAGAAGCGTTATAGGCCTCCAATTAATTAGATCATCATGCTCACCTTTTTATGAATTAAACTTATAACACCACGTCTTTTGAATTAGATTAATGTTTCCATTTCAAAGCCTAATTTAAGAGCTTCGCAAACTAAAGGGCCAATTTTGGGCCAGAAAAATCGATAGAAATCTACTGTGAGACCATCTGTACCAGGCGCCTTGTTAAGTTTCATACATTGTATAGCGTGTTCACATTCACTAAGTGACAGTTTACCCTCACAAGACTGTTTATCAGGATCTGATAATTTCGTGGATTCTATTTTGTTTAAATATGTCTGTACCTCGTTTTTCTCAATGTTTTGATTGGCGTAGAGTTTCTCAAAAAATTTCACTTCTTGGTACAACAGAATATCATTGGTTTTTCGAGCATATGTTCCATCATATCTTTTTATATTTTTATTTGTTTTTTTTTTAAATATGTCTGTACCTCATTTTTCTCAATGTTTTGATTGGCGTAGAGTTTCTCAAAAAATTGCACTTCTCGGTACAACAGAATATCATTGGTTTTTCGAGCATAGGTTCCATCATATCTTTTTATATTTTTATTTGTTTTTTTTAGAATTTGTTTCTCCTTCCTCTACCCATTTTGTCCTAGACCGTATCTGGGCACCTTTAGCCTCATAAGCATATATACTTTCTAATATTTTTGTTTTTGTTTTTAATTCTAGCTTTGTTTTTCATCTCCGTTCCTGTTCATCAAGAAGATATTTAGCTGCTCGATTTCTTTTTGTAATTTTCTTTTTTTCTATTTTTATTTTTTGCTTTTGTTTTTCCAAAAAAAATCGCGTATTCTTTTATTTTGATTTTTATCAACTCCCATTTATCAACTGCATTAAAATCTTTATTGCGTTCGCAGTCATCAATGATTTTCATGACATTTTCAATAAATAACCTATCCTTTAAATAATCTGAGTTAAGTTTTCATAACCCTGGACCATGTCTTTCTTCAGATACACAAATTTTAAAGGAGACACCTTGGTGGTCAGTGAGAACAGAGGGTCTGATATCACAAGAGATTATATTTCCTTCATTATGTAAGCCTTTCGATACAAACCAGTAATCTAATCTTTTAAAGGGGTTAGCAGACTTTCTGCGCCATGTGAATTGTAATTTATTTTCGTTAAGTACTCTCCAAATATCTAATAACTTAAACCTATTCATAAAGTTTTTGACTGTAAACACCGAATTATCTGTTTTCATTTTACTACCTTTCTGATCAATTGACTTATCTGAATGCAATTCATATCACCACCGACAATAATATACCGTGCGTCACAGAAGGTATGCATATGCTTTTGGAGATTTTTAAAAAAAGAACTTCGTTCTTTGCTATCATTTGGCGCGTATACATTTACCAATAAATATTGAACACCACTGATATCTATATGTAATAAAATATGTCTACCGGTGTCATCGATTTGTTTATTTATACACCTGTAATCAAGATCTTTTCGTACAAGAATTGAAACCCCTTTATTAAAGGAGTTACCAAAACTGTGATAAGAGTCTCCCTCCCAAAGGAAATTATAATTGTTCACAAGATAAACAAGATCTTTGGTGAGATGTGATTCTTGGACATGTAATATGTCAACCTTATTAACTTTAGCCCGGTTAAAAATTTCTCTCTGCTTTTGTTTTACTCTTAGCCCTATACCATTCAAAGACAGACAGTGTAAACATCTGCTATTATCTTTACCCATTTTGTGGTAACAACAAATAGTACAAATAGCACTAAACTATCTACGTAGATTTACTTCTTACTCGTTTTCTTTTTTTCTTTCTTTTCTCTCCGGGACTTCATCACATTCGCTACTTGCGGATCACGTTCGTTTTTCTCTTTGTTGAATTTTTCTTTTAGAGGTTCTTTGGTGTCGCCAGTTACGATAACTCTCTGTGGCGTAGCTGTCGTGATGAAGTTTGTTATGCTCTTTTGGACTTTATTTTTTACAGGAGCATAGCTGCTGCCAGGGACCTCTTCCATTGTCCCGTCATCATCACTTGCCTCTACTGTATCTTCTTTACAACTGGTTGCTGTATCAGTCTCGCTTTCATCGCTGATGCCAAGACTCCATTTAGACTCTTTCTTATTATCTCTGCTGCCTTTATCCACGAAATTTGCCACATTTTTTGTATGTACTTTTCTCCAGATGTTTGATGAAATAGGATTTATCCGGTGTCATAGGCATCATCGTCTTCCTCAGTATGAGTGATGATGTCGCTTTCATCTGAATGCTTGAGCGCATCCTTGCAAAACCTAGCAATGTGACCCATTTTTCCGCATCTGTAACACTTGTAAGGGATCTTTTTTCAGACAGCTACTAATCTTATGTCCAACCTCATTGCCCTTAAAGCATTTCATAACGTCGAACTGATGTCTGTGAAAAAGCCTTGCCTTAAAATTGTTGATCATAGTAAATCTTGGCAGACTACCTTTAAATTTCTCAACGATTACAGATCTATCACCATTGACGAATCTGGAAAGCCTGCCATTAATCCGAAATTTCACGTATTGAATGTTTCCGATTATTTTACATCCGAATTGCTTTAGGGCGTTCCTAATTTTATCGTTGTGGACCGAGATGGGAACATCCTTTACTAAGACTCGTACACCATCATTTACTACAAGGTATGGGTTGATGTCATGTATTGCAACATTTCGTCCATTGATGTTGAGCCCAGCAGTAATAATTTTTACTCTGTCTCCATGGTTACTAATATAAATTCTCCAATGATTTTTTACTTTTTGGATTCCTATGAGATTGTCTTCACTAATAACTTCACACAAGGCAAAGTATATTGTTTCTTCGTTCAAAAATTCATCGTTTTTTTCACGAGCGTCATCATCTTTATAGAAAATAGGCTTTACGCTTGAATAATGTTGATCCTTTTGTTCTGTCACTCTTACGTAACTTTCTTTTTGACCACTGTCAGCGTGAATCTCTACTTCGATTACGTCACCCGTTGGAGCATCATCAATTCTATTAGATAAGTATTTACCTTTGTCGTTTGCCCCATGGGCATGGTGCACATTCGCCATTGTTGGATGTCGAGTAGGCCTAGACATGATCGCTTCACAAAGTATTTTTTCTGGACGATATTCAGATCAAGGATAAAAGATCCGTACAATGCAAATGAATATTTGTCCTCCAACAAATGATATATACTCACTTAAAATCCAAGAATATTTCAAAAACTAGTGAAATAAGCAATAATTATGGAGCAATATAGATAACTTTACCATAGCTAAGTTAATCTCTGCCGCCCCGTCCTCTCCTTTATTATTATTATAATTATTATTATTATTATTATTATTATTATTATTATTATTATTATTATTATTACTATTACTATTATTATTATTATTATTATTATTATTATTATTATTATTATTATTATTATTATTATTATTATTATTATTAATATTATACCACCTCCGTGGATAGGCCTAGAATTTGGCTTACTCCGAAACATTACGAAGTAGAGTAAAATTAAAAATCGAAAACAATTGGCCATTTTCTTAAATTTTTGTTAGGTCTAATTATATCGTTTTACATTTAGTCTTTAAAGTGCTGAGAGTTTATCATTTCTAACATCGTTTTAGTATTGAGATTATTATATAAAACTGTCTGGGACAGGCAGACATGCCTCAGTACATTCGATTCACGAACGTGGATAGGGTACACTTCCTTCCATTTTAGCGAAATACACAAAATAAAATATTGAACTTTTTATAACTAGGAACACAAACACAAATGTTATCTGATATAAATTTGCGCAGTTGTCCTATGTTATCTATTTCAATATTGATTAATCTGGAGCTTTGGAGGAACAGTATATCCATTGTATGTGACGAGATACGTTTCAGAAAAAGTAAAAACAATTTTCTTTAGCTAGCTTTTAATTGCATAGCTCTCACCCCTCTTCTACCGATGAAACACATGTTTTAATGCAGCACATTTTTAACCATGGACTCTATTTTATTTCAATGTTGATTAATCTCGCAGTTTAGTGGAAAATTAATTTGTTTATTATATATAATGATCAGGCTCTTTAAATAAGGATTGTATACTGTAAAATAGTCGTTTCTATAGCTTGCTGTTCAATGTATTGCCTTCACCCTTCTTCAAACAGCGAAGCACATGTTTTGTTGCGTCGTTGATTAACCATGTTAATTCCAAGATGGTTGTAATTTAATACCCGATTTACACTTTGGAATGTCTATTTTACTCAATATGGTGTATGTTAGTACATTTAATCAAATAAAGTATGCACCAATTGATCAACCATCTGTGAACTCTATTAATGACTGCGACAATAACATAATTATGCTGTATCTCGTATACACAATCTCATACTTTCACATGTTATTTCTAAGCAAATAAACATAGGCCTATAGTTCGTAATTATTAACATCGATAACAAATATGTTTAATGTCTACATAGATGAACACATGGATACTTCTTTTTTGGTCTTGTCTAACATTTTCCATGACAACCACACAACTCGGTACATCTTAATCCATTCTTTCTGCATTTTCAGCTTCCAAGTTCACATTCGGTGTGTCCACAAGGAATTAACACCTTGATGACATTTGAAAGTTCGGCAGAGAGCTCCAAACTGGAGTAAATTTGTTGTCGTCCTTCATCTATCCCCAATTAACTCGGCCATGTTCAACTCTGAGGGCATCTACACAGTTGTACCACTCTGGCTTGTAGTACAGATCGTTTGATATGTTCTTTTAATGCAGCAGATGTTAGAGGGGGCGGGGTTATTCTCTTTTGCATTTTCCCTAGTTGAAAATAGGTATCGTCTTGTATCATTTACCTTCTTACCATCAAATGTGCCGCAGTAAATAGCGACAACAAACTGTTCTAGATAGTCTGTGTCTGTTCACTAACATCTCCTACAGATGATGACATTCTCTCGAATACTGCAGTCATACATGGCACCTTTTCCCAAGTTATGTTAAATGATGCTTTACCTTTCCCTTGGACAGATGAAGTTGTATCACAACCGCTAAAGGAGTGAAAGAACAAGTGAGCGGTTGATATCTGTGGTCCAAGAGAAGTAGCAATCTCGTGTATTGAATTGTACTTTAAGTGCTTCTCACTCCAAACTCGAGCTAAAGCTCCTGGATGCCAGGTATTCTGTGGAAAGCTAACAACGCAATAATAACAACATCACTGTCTAGAGTCTTGACAAGAATGCGTGGACAATTTTCAGCAGCATGTTTAACATGAACAAACATACGTTCATCTGCCTCTTAGGGATTTATTACGATTCAAATTGACTGCATCCAAAGTTTGTTTTGATATTACCTTACCGTCTTCAAATTCACAACAGGAAAGTTTAAAGGTTAACTGTAGGCCTACACTGTTATATTAGGCTGGCTACCTCAGCGGTTTTTTTTTCCAGGGGCCATTCCACAGTATTTGGTCCGTGAGGGTTACATATTTGTAATTATTTTGCGTAACTTTTGGTAATTTCTCAAGCTAAATATCAAAGTTTCATAGATAACATTCAAAATAATTCTAGCACTGTGGAATTAAACAGGTAAACATTTTTTGGTAAACTGTTTATTTTAGATTGGCAACATCCGAAATCGACTATTCATTTCACACCGGGAACGATAATTTTTAACCTATTGTCACGCATAAGTATGCTAAAGGCATTTGAACTAAATCCGCATGAATTGAAATGAATAAAATATTAAATTTTGTATGCATGATTAATTTATTTTTATAATGTTAAACGATTAAATACTTCTGAAATTATTAAAAGAAAGAAGATATATGTTATGATGGATGTAACACATTTATAATAATGTTTGACATTATTTTGCCGAATAAAATTGGATGTAAATTTAATTAGCCTAAGGATAAGTTAGATATAGTATAATAAAAATTACGTTTAGGCCTAGGCCTATATGAATAAAGAAATAATTTATGTCCGAAATTATTATGCAAATTACGTTAGAAACAGATAAAACGAATAAATCAATACCTACAGATGGCAATTCCTCGGACCTTTTTTTAGCTCGGTCAACAAAAGGACCTCCCTACGGCCTAAGCCAGCAAGCTGTATGCTCAGCTAGTTCTGTAGTACCAGAGGGTTTAGGCCTCTTTATGTCCTTACTAAATACCTTCTTGTTCCTATAAACTACACTACATACTATGTTATGACTGTTAATGTTATACCAGGGAGATACACTGGTATAGTAAACCACATTAAATGAATCAATAATTAAAACAAAACTCACCCCTTGATACTGATGAAATACTTCCAAGATGTAAAATCATCAAAAGCTGTAACTGTACCAATTAACTGATAAAAACTCAAAAACCAAAGTGACCATGGCCAATCCGATTTAAGTAATTCGAGCTGAGTAGCCTTGGACAATGGCTGAAGGTTAGCAACAAAGATAGTATGCATCACAGCACAGATTGGTGAACTGTGTCCTATTGTTATAGTGCTTGAGTGAGATTTAATTACTTTTTTAAGAAAATGATTAAAGTAAAAGAATTTGTAATAATTGAGTGACTCAATGAGGCGAAAATTTACAGTCCTTTACTTTACACTACAGGTATTCCTATTTCTCTCCTTAAAGCCTCATGGGCCACAATGTGCTAAAACATCTGAATTTACCGATATTAAAAATATATCCCAAATGTTTCATTCCTTATAGTACCCATAAGCCTATGTGATAACCCAATACTTTGCCCACATATGGGCTGACACAAACAGCTGTGGCGTATCTGGGTGCGGGGGTAGGGGTTTCTGAGAGCATACGTCCCTCCAAAATTTAATCGTCCCCCTCCCCGGTTTTGCACCCCTAAAAATCACGGTAAAGTAGTTAAAAATCACCTAAAATCACGTTATTTGGCGAGTTAGCGCCCCACAAATGATCATCGAGCCCTTCAATTTCACCTTCGAGCCCCTTATCAGCACCCCTATTTCAAGACTTGTAGATACGCCACTGGATACAGAATAACCCATTTTTTTTCCTCTCTTGTGGGCCTCAAATGGGATTACCTATATGCTTATGCCCATAGACCTATTAACAAATATATTTCCCTCCTGCTTTTGCCTATATTTATTCATATATGATTTCTAATTTGCCCACAGGGGCTGACACACAAAGAACCAATTATGAATGTTCCCGTCTCTTGCCCTCAATGGCCCCAAATATGTTAAATTATCTGGGCCTGCCCATGTTTAAAAAAATATATATCCCAAATGTTTTGGCCCTGATATTGCCCATATATTATAACCGCTTAATTTGCCCACATGGGCTGACCCATGAATAGCTCAAATGGGTTCATCCTTTTTTTTTCTCTCTTGTGGGTCCCAAATAGGATTAACTATATGGCTCATATTTAAAAAAAATATATTTCCCACATGTTTTGCCCATATTTATCCCATATATGATTTTCCATAATCTGTCCACAAGGGTTGACCCACAAAGAGCCCTTATGAATGTTCCCATTGCTTGCCCTTAAGGGCCCCAAACATGCTAAACCATATGGGCCTTCCCACATTTTGAAAATATGTATCTCAAATGTTTTGGGCCTTACAGTGCCAATATGTAATTGCCCATATTTCATCCACATGGGCTGTCCCAGAAATAGCCATTATGGGTCTGCCCACATTTTTTTTGTGGGCCCTAAATGCGCTTACCCATTATGGGCATGCCCACATTTTTTAAATCAATAACGTTTTCAAATTTGTTTGCCCACATAGTACCCATTAGTGACTGCCCATACTTTTCCCACATGGGCTGATCCATAAACGTTCCAAATAGGTATGCCCACATTTTCCCCTTGTGAGCTCCAAATGTGCAAATCTACTAGAGATTGCCCTTTTCTTTCCCTCATGGGTGCCAAATGCCCTGACCCACATGTTACCCATATTGGCTTCTCGATCTTTTACCCTTACGGGACCCTTAGAATTAAATTCAATATTGTGTAGCCCATACAGACCCCATAAGGGTTAAGTGTGGTATGGGTCTGCCCACATGGCCCAGATATTTCACATAAGGCCCCGTAAACTTTGCTACCTGGGATTTTAATTCCAAGATGGCTGTAATTTAATACCCGCTTTACACTTTGGAATGTCTATTTTGCTCAATATGGTGTAAGTTAGTACATTTAATGGAATAAAGTATGCACCAATTGTTCAACTATCTGTGAAGTCTATTGATGACTGCGACAACAACATAATTATCCTATATCTCTATTACATATACACATTCTCATGCTTTCACATGTTATTTCTAAGCAAATAAACATAGGCCTATAGTTATTATACATCGGTAACAAAAATATGTTTAACGTTTATATAGATGAACACAGGGATACTTCTTGTTAGGTCTTGTCTAACATTTTCCATGGCAACCACACAACTCGGTACATCTTAATCCATTCTTTCTGCATTTGCAGCTTCCAAGTTCACAGTTGGTGTGTCCACAGCGAATTAACATTTGAAAGTTCGGCAGAGAGCTCCAAACTGGAGTAATTTGTTGTCGTCCTTCATCTATCCCCAATTAACTGGGTCCTGTTCAACTCTGAGGGCATCTAGACAGTTGTACAACTTCCTGACTCGTAGTACAGATCGTTTGATATGTTCCATTAATGCAGTAGATGTCAGAGGGGTGGGGTGTTCTCTATTGTTTTTTCCCTAGTTGTAAATAGGTATCGTCTTGTATCATTTACCTTCTTAACATCAAATGTGCCGCAGTAAATAGCGACAAGAAGTTATGTTAAATGAAGCTTTACCTTTCCCTTGAACAGATGAAGTTGTATCACAAACGCTTAAGGAGTGAAAGAACAAGTAAGCGGTTGATATCTGTGGTCCAAGAGAAGTAGCAATCTCGTGTATTGGAATGTACTTTAAGTGTTTCCCACTTCAAACTCGAGCCAAAACTCATGGATGCCAGGTATTCAGCGGAAAGCTGACAACGTAATAACAACATCACTATCTAGAGTCTTGGCACGGACAATTTTCAGCAGCATGTATAACATGAACAAACATACGTTCATCTGCCTCTTCCATGTTACATGGCATCAATGGTTGCAGATCTACATACCGGTTTGCTACACTTCGTCTTCCAGAGGACCCTACAAACAATCCGTGGTTTGTGTCAATGTTCTCAACGTTCTTCGTTTACAATCAATGGAAACAACTCTGATTTGTTGTCATCACATCTCAGGAATGTAGACCAATTGTTGGGCATACTCCCGCTGGCGTTGATGGCCCTCCCCCACCAGAGCCACGGTTCGAACGCGTACCAGACTATACGAAATCTTTAAAGTATGTGTGTAGTGTAAAAAATTCATCATCAATCGTACCTACCTATAATATTATGGCAAATATTGACTACTATTGTATATTATTGGACAATATTTCAGCCGCCCCAAATCTCTACCCTATTCTTCCTTCTTCCTTTATTCTTTCACAATTTGCATTTATTCATAATTTTATACACCACACACAGTTGTCAATAGGTTTAGGCCTAGGTTTAGGCCTAGGCTAGGCCTCGGCTATGCCTATTACCATATTATTTAAATATACAATTTTAATAGATAAGATTAATTTAACTTGGACATAGTAATTCATACTTAAACAATACATTAAATTTTAAATATATATATATATATATATATATATATATATATATATATGTATGTATGTATATATATAATGTTAACGAAAAAATAGCAATAATTAAAACGTGGACATAGTGTCACTACTACAATAAGATTACTATTTTTCAATCTTATAATCAATTTTATATAGCCGGAGTTAGTATTGACCTAGGCTACAATGGCTACCGACAGGTACGCTTTCTCCATTAAAAAGGTTTTTTCTATGAATGGAATGACTTGTACGAAACACGAGCTCCTGTAGACCAAACCAGTACCGTTACGCACCAGAAGAACTACTCAACATTAGAAGATGTAACTGCAAGACAGAGTGTAGCAACCGCATGTGTTCGTGCAGGAAAGCTGATCTGCCATGCATAGCTAACTGCTTGTGGTCCTTGCCAGGTTGATGGATGCGACAATGTTGATGAATTAGTTTATTCTGATGATATTGATGGTGATGCTTATTTGTTCGTATAGTCAGCATCCATACTGTTACGAAAGGAAAATGTTGCATTTGGACACAATTAGACCTACATGAAATAGACTGTGAATACTGTCGAAATGATAAACGAATCGGCTAAGTGAATTGACAAAAAGTTTAAGTGGAAACATGTATCATATTTTACCTATTGTTAAATTACCATTTCAGATTGTGTATCCCATAAAGCGATGTAAGATGCATTTGGCTTTCTTGTTTATAAGCTGATTGTGGAGACACTATTTTTTTGTGCTTTTAGACCAAGTGGTTGAGGAGTTATGATCATCATATAACACGTTATATTTTCATTGCGGGTTTTAATTAATGTTGATCCAAAAATCCTAGGTGTAGCCACTATTTTTGTGCATTTAGGCAAACTGGTTCAGGAGGTATGACCATCATAGTTGTATAAAGGTCATTGACCTTTGGCCCTAAATATTTGGTCAACGCAGCTACTAGAAAGTGGCAAAAATGTTTTAATAAATGTTGATCCCAAACACTTAGGTGTAGCCACTATTTTTGTGCATCTAGGCAAACTGGTTGAGGAGTTATGACAATCGTAGTTGTATAAAGGTAATTGACCTTTGACTCTAAATATTTGGTCAATGCTTGAAGGCGCCAAAAATGTTTCCATAATTGTAGACCCCAAAAACCCAGGTGTAGATACTATTTTTGTGCTTAGAGCAAGTGGTTAAAAAGTTATGACCCAGAACATGTTATATAAATGTAATTAACACTTCACCCTGAATATCTGGTCAACGCAACTATCAAAAGGCGGCAAAAATGTTCCCATAATTTTTTACGTATAGACGTACAAGAATATACAAAAGTCCTTTTATTAGAGTTTGTTTAAGTTAACCATATTTAGCCTCTACTAAAAGGGATTTCAATTATATTTATAAAATGCACTGGTAATGTATAAAAGTAGTTATCAATTGTTGATATACCACGGCATATCAAGTGGACTTTGAACGTCTTCCTTGATACAGTACTGCGTGGCCGGCTGAAAGTATATGGTCTGTGGTTTTGACAACGTGAACAAAATTTTGCAGTTCCATCCATTCTATCAAAGTAAAATTTAGACACTTGACTCTTGTCCTTTACTCATTGGGCTATGGGGATATTAACTGAATTACGATCTCTAACATATTATCATTATTTTATTCTTCAAATTGCTTTTTCTATCCATTGATTTATTGTTTATTCTATAATTTGTTCTGATATCTGGGGCGGATGCAGGATTTAGCGGTAGGGGGTGCGTGCCCCCACGGTGGTTGGAGCTGAGGGAATAGAAAATCTTAAGA